CTCATAAAATGGTTATATGGAGTATATTTTTTTTTTACAATGTTTACCCTGTACAAGGCCCAAGAGCCACTCAAGGTAGAGGTTTACAAAATAAGAGGGGCAGTTTACAAGGATATATGTGGAAGTTAACAGTTGAGTCTAGACTTGAACAGGTTAAGATTGTAGTGACTGGGGAAGCATCCTCTTGGGAGTTGAATCCACAAAGCATTGTAAGCAAAGATATATAGTTGCATATTCTTAGAATATTTTCTTTTTTTATCAAGTGGGGAAAAATTGCATACTTTTCTCTCACTGCTACCACAAGTTCAAATTTCATAGTGACTCACCTCAGAAATTGCTGTTTCATTGCTGTAGATGGGAGGACATGTCTCTGATTTTACCTGTTTTACTGCAGTAGGGAGTGTTGCCTGGAGGTTAGATCGTGAACACTGACTGGCTTTTCTGCATCTGTAACCAAAGCCAAGGAAAAATGAATTCTATGTTAATGTTATGATAGAAATTGAACATAAAAAATATGGAATAATTGATTTTGATACCTTTGGTCATTTTCATATGATAAATCATTTTTGAATTATATGAATTTGTTAAAAATTTGCTGTTAACAAATCTTTGATTATTATATTATTCCCCCAGCTATGAATTAAAGAGTAGGGTAGACAGAGTTCTCTAGCCATGAGTGGCAACCAGTCGAAGAGAAAGAAACAGTCTGAATACCAATTTGTTTGAATTTCTTCAATAAGGAGTTATTATTATTTACAAAGAGACTATTGTCCTCATTTTTGTTGTTATTACCACAACATTTGGGCAGTAAGTAATTAGAAGTTGTGGTGAATGCAGTCAAGCATGACAGCAGCAGTGTCAGAAGCTGGGAGTTTAAGTTTAATACTCCAAGTTCTACACTCATGATTGTCGCACAATAGCATTGGCTTGTGAATTTGGTGACATAGTGATTGTGAGTTCAATACCTGGGACCAAGTAATGCATACTTAGACTTGCTGGAAATAAAATGAGCTATAACTGAGCTGTGCTAATAAAGAACAAGACAAAATAACTTTAGTCATGTTCAGTAGTACAAGAGCAATATATTTCTGTAGGTTGAAGGTTAACCTGATCAACAAACACCTGAAGAAGGCAAAACATTTTAATAATAAAAAAGATATTAGTTCAAATATAAAAAAAAGAAAAAAACGGTAAATGTTAGAATAATTATAAAAAAAGGCAACAGGAAAACACTTCACTCTCTTCTCCGAAAAGTTGCATCAATTCAAAGCTAATAAAGAAAAGCCTGCCCCTTTTCTAGAGTGAAGACATTGCTGAACTGTAGTCAGTTTCGTCATGTTTGAACTAAAATTCCTTTTCAGAAATTGATGTTACAGATTACTTCCACAAAGAAAGAAACAAATCACAAGTCCAAACTCAAATATCAGGGACAGAAAGAAATATTGAAATTCCGATTTGCAGGTCCTTTGTCACAAATCCCACTGCACGTAACAGTCAGAAAAATAACACTCCCACCAATGAACACAGTAGCAAAATAAACCATTTTTTTCTCGCCAATTCAAGAACACCAACTGCTTTTATCGACTGAGCACTTTTTCGTTCATTGATAGCTGAGAGAGGATACACAATATTAGCATATCTGAAATACTTTTATGCCGACCCCTACAACTGACTTGTTTTTAATTTGGACATTCTATCTTCAGCATATCATACGTAATATGTGCCTTTTTTTCTCGGTAAGTAACTTTCTTTTTTGCCACATTTTCCGTCGTAGAATACACACGACATGCTGTCACTTGGTTTGACAAGGTAATTTACCATTTTCTTCACTACAATAGGGACATTTTTGATAAGCTTTACTTCAGTTTCACACTGAGTCCTTTTTGTGTGTGTATCTGCTGAAGGAATTGTTTGTTGATATTTTTTTTTACTATAAGAAAATCCCTTTACAATTAAGAAAAAACATTTAATAAGGATGTTAACAATTATTATACTTCTATCATTATCATTGTTAATAATGTTCTATCACCATGACTATCGGCTTCTTATAGATTACAGATTGTCATCCGATTTCTGTAAAAACGTAATAATATAACTTGGTGGATTTGCCCACTTGTATCCGGAAGTCTCTCAGTTAGTTACTGAGATCATTTAATTGGATAAATTTTCCACCTAATTTTGCAGGTTACTTTTGGTGAGGGGAGAAAGCTCTCTCGAACTGGAGGGAGAAAAGTATTTATGCAGCCTTCCAATTGCCTGCTGCTGGCTCCAACACAGTTGGCAGGGATACAAGTTCATGGTTTTTATGACCTAATGAACTCTCTGGAATCTCTGACTTTCTCACTGTCTTTCGCAGATTTAACTCAAGAGAAATATACTTTTACATTCTTGTATCCCAAGAATTAGAGATCACAAAATTTATATTCTAGCATTTCTTTCTCATTCTTTGATTTCTCCTGCCCCTCTATCTTTATATATATATATATATATATATATATATATATATATATATATATATATATATATATATATACACACACACAAGATAGATAGCATTAGATTAAATGAATAACAAAACAAAATTTTGTGATGCATTTTGTCATATATATATATATGTCATCTACAGACACTGTTTTGCTATATCACAGCTCATCAGTGTGGCTAGACATCTGGTTGCCTCTAGCTAGGATTGAAACCCGGCTGAATTGGCATCAGTCAGAGATTCTACCCCTAAGCTGAAGGTGAATTTAAGTGTATTTATTTTTAGATAAACAAACAATGACTGAAAGAACTCAATTCGCTTTACTTGCATTATTAGCCATAATATTCACTGTTTACAAACTCACATTTCCTCCCTTGAGAGCTTAACTGAAATAAATTTTTCAGAAGCATTTATATTGTCATCCACAGACAGACTATTTCGTGCTGTATCACAGCTCATCAGTGTGGGTAGATGTCTGGTTGCCTCTAGCTAGGATTGAAACCTGGCTTAATTGGCATGTATTATATATATATATATATATATATATATATATATATATATATATATATAAAAAATATAGAGAGATAGATGTGTGTGCAGGGCTGGTGCATACTATCCCACCCGGTCAGTGATAGGCCTGATTGAGAGCCTTAGACAGTACTTTGTGACCCTCGCTATCTTATCAACATTTGCTTTTTTTTTCTACCTACATTGATATACGTTACAAATTAAACTAACCACAACTATTAAAGGATGAAAAATTTTTGCAGATTTTTAAGTCATTCTGGAGTCTTTTTTTTTTTAATTTTTGTCTCAATCTGTGAAGTCTTGAAAATAAAACTACCATATATACTCGTGGATAGGTTGCACTTTTTTTGACAAAATATTCTATCCACTCATCATAAATATAAAACAATATTATCTTGTCATCTGAATGAATTTTAATATATAAAGAGATAAACACATATTTTTCTGTACAGTATTTACATTAGTCGGACTATTGTCCTCATCTTTGTCGCCATATTTGTCACAACGTTTCGGCCTTCTTCAGGTGGTTGGAATTTCGATCACTGGGGTAGACTGTTCTAATTCCACGTGCCATGTTTGATGGATGTCAGTTATCAGTTATCTCCTGCTAATTTTCCCTCTGAAAGTTCTCCACTGCCTTAACCAGGAATTGAACTCACCTTCTTTGGGTCTGTCACTGGATCTAACCAACGCCTTTATCCACTGTGCCATGTGTCCTTGAGGACATCTGGGTATGAACTTCTGAGTATTATAAACCTAATGTTTTCAGCATCATTTTTACCAGTGCTCATATTGCAATTTTTGCTGTTATCATTGCATGTCTTTACCAGAGTTCATATTGCAACTTTGTTATCATTGCATATTTTTCTAAATGTACTATAACATTTTCTTCTGTAATTATTTCTTTTTTTTTTTTTTTTTTTTTTGACTTGATATAAAAATAATATGCAGTAAATATAAAAATACTGACACAACAGTTACTTCCTTTTGTTTACATGATAATTGACAAAATATATTTTCACTGCAAAAATGTATTAATAATTTTTTAAATAAATTGAATTAATAAGTTTTGAAATAAAGGTACAAATAAAGGTAGATATCTGATAATTCTTAGGTTTAAAAAGGGCTGTGTAACTCCCCAAATTATAGTGTGACCTATCTGCGAGTCAATAGTAAATCATCAATTATTAAGCCACAAAGTAGGGGTGCGACCTATCCAGTGGGGTGACCTATCCAAGAGTATATATGGTATATGAAGTTCCCTATTTTTATCTATAATGTTGAATCTGTTAAAATTATTCAATTTTTTAACAAGAAAAATCTCAAGTTGATTTTAAAAATTGCTGCAAAATATTGATTTAATGATCTATTATGACATGCCTCTCATCTGTATTTAGATACATTGTACTTATTTTCAAGTTTTTGGTTGAATTGTTCAGCTGTATTGTCTATGATTCATTATTGCACATACTTAGGTTACAATAAAATTTGTATTTTATATGAATCCTTCTGAAAATTGAGATGTAGTAGAGTGAGGGTGGGGGGTCTGTATCATAGATTTGGAGGGTAGGGGCACAAGACCTTTGTACCAGCCCTGCGTGTGTGTATGTGTGTGAAAAAAAAAAAAAATTGATACACACTGGACAGATTAAAGGCAAGAGGGAAAGAGGAAAGCACTGTCTAGCGAACTTGAATAAATGCATGGCAGAACAAGGTTTAGAAGTGATAACAAAAAGACAAAATTTATTAAGAGATACAAAGGACAGGAAATTGAGGAGAGCCTTGATTGTCAACATCCTAAAGGGACATGGCACACAGAAGTTTCATAAAAATTATTTAAAAAGTTCTACTATTTAACCCATAGATGGGTGAAGAAGCGGTTTCATACCTTTTTGAAGGGTATTAGTATGCAAGTGAATATAATGAAACCGACAGCTTTATGATTTCTAATTTTGAGCCATTATTTATCACACCACCCACACATCCAAGTTTACAGTACCTAGTATTCACAAGTAGTCACCCATCTAGGCTTGACCAGGTTCAAAATTGCTTAACTTCAGTGATCAGATGAGAACTGGTGTTTCACTATGAAATGGCTGTAAGTCATTTTAAGGTATGCTATATTTATGGGTCAGTCAGTCAGTTATGTGCCATGCATGATACACACTTAGGTGATCATGTATCTTTCGATACATGACTGATGAGGCAGATTTTTTCCCGCACTAGTTTGCCATTTCTTTCTGCGGTAGACCAGTTGCCATCCAAGGCTATAGAACCCGGTTTGTCCTGCTATCTACCCATAGCTGTGGGGAGAAGAGGATTCATGCTTTTCCCAAGGGTATTAGCACGTAAGTGAATGTAATGGATTTGACTGGAATTTGAACTTGGCTTTCTGATTCAAAAATCTGAGCCACTATCCATTAAACTGTTACTCTTTATGGGTAAAAGTGCTCAATATCAAGGATAGTGAATGTAAATATAAACCTAGCAATCTTCAGATCTGAAGATTACTTGGAGTTGATGTTTTGGAGTTGATTATAGTGTGCATATTGTGGCAGCAATCCCTCCATTATACATGTTTTGCTAAAATGACTAACAAGGTACTTTTGTTAATTTTACTATTGCATTTTTCTTGTATGCAAACAAGAGATTTTTTTTAACTTTGTGTTGAAATTGTCCAAATTGTTGTTTGTCCCAAGTACTTATGATATTGGTATTTAGTAATTTTTTTTGTTTTTAATTTTGATAATGCTATAACATAATTTGTATTAGTTTCTTTATATTAATTTGACATGAGGCCAAATAGGAAGGTTGGAAGATCTTGTTGTGAGTAAGAGCCAGAACTTTAAGTGCTGATTTTCAAGGCAACCAAGCTGGTTCTTCTCACTTGGAAGCTTGGTGCAACACAATCTACCTACTTCTAATTAAGTTTAATAAATATTCAGTGTATGAGAAATCTCTTGTTATTACCTTATCTGCCCAAAGTAGCTGGTATATCTCTTGTTAGCATTGACATATAGAAGCTTGTTAGGTGTTTCTAAGTGTTAGCATACTATCATTGTGCACTTAGAATTCACACTTTGCAATCCATTATTTGTGCTTGTCCTTTGGAAATCTAATGCACCAACATTCATCTCCCTCAAGGTGTCCATTACTCATGGTTTGTGTGTCAAATATGCCTTCTTTGAAAGTTTCTTGATTTGCTTGGCCAATCTGATAGAAGCAGCTAAAGAGTCAATATTTATATTTCCATAAGTAACTTGGCCTTGAATGAATCTTTTTTCATTTAAGGTACACTATGCTCAAATTCACTTGTATATTTGTTAGATGTTTGGTTCTGTGTGTGTGTGTGTATATATATATATATATATATATATATATATAAAACAGTTGTGTGTACAGCATAAACCACAGGTTGGCTCGGTAGGTGTTGAACAAATAAATGTGCCTAAGCTGACGTCTGCAACAGGGATTAACTCTCCACTCTAGCAGATGGGCATATTCAAAACCAAGTAACCACCTGTGTGTGTGTGTATATATATATATATATATATATATATATATATATATATATATATATATATATATATATATATATATATATATAGTGTGTATGTACAGTGAGGTTGAATCATTAAGTTTGTAGCTTAAGTTATTAACTGGATTTCATATGTTTATTTATATGATTAATGGTGAAGCAGTCATAATTCATATGGTGTTTCTTGCATAAAATAAATGCCTTTTTCACCATATGACTAAAAAGTATATATCCAATTTTAATCTAAAATTTGTCACAAGTAATTTAAGAACAATAAGAAATTTAATCAGCACAAAATATATTAACAACATTAAGTAGAAGGCAGGAATTTACACAAAAAATTGCAAAACAACCTGAGAGATATCTACAGATTAATCATAAACATAAAAGAGGACTTTTCACAAAATCAAACATGAACAGGAAAGGGGACTTTTACACAAAATCAAGTATGAAAGGGGACTTTTCACAAAATCAAACATGAACAGGAAAGGGGACTTTTACACAAAATCAAGTAGGAAAGGGGACTTTTCACAAAATCAAACATGAACAGGAAAGGGGACTTTTCACAAAATACACTCGATGCATTAGTTGTTAATCATCATGTGGTTGAACAAGTTTTCAACTAAATGCACTTTTAAGATCGTTATTAAGGCAAAAATATATTGAAAGTGGTATAGATGACATGATGCTTACAACTGCTGCACTTACAATACATCATGTGGTTATTAGGAGTCTGTTCTGCACATATAAGAATGTTGTTTCATCATAATTAACATTGAGCATTGCTATCCCATGTATTTTCCCATATGCATAGTTCTCTGAAATGATTATCTAATACCTTGAAGTCCCACAATCTGACCCTTCCCAGATGACTCTAATTGAACAAAAGGAGCACCTGTGCAACTCCATGGTATGACACCAGCTTATACTACACTCTTTTATCACAGCATGCATCATCGTCTAAGAGTTAGATGCAGGTGGCGCATTAAAGATGGCTGAAGACTTTGAAAAATTTGTCATAATATTTACCTTACCCAAAGTTGGCATTGTCTTTGAGGATATTGGAAATTTATTTCTTTTTTCTGTTTGTGTGTGTGTGTGTGTGTGTGTATTTATATTTTAATGTGATTGTCAGAAAATCACACTGAAGTATGAAACTAACAGTTACCATGCAGTAATGATTCTTTATTTTCGATATTTGGTAATATTCCCCTATAAATATAGCACATTTTAACATATATACATGCATATACAAATACACACACCATATTTTCTTTATACACATACAGGAGAGTACTGAAAAGTTCTTGGTTCTGGCAAGATGCCACTCAGAATTTCTGACATTTGATCATTTTGGTCAGATTTTAGATTTCGGCTTCAGTCACCCTTCCCATTGTCATAATGTAGCTTCCCTGTGCCTTTTCTATAAACATTTTCATGGTAATTATTCTGATGGGCCTTCCTCTTTAGTACCTTGACTTTACGAAACTAAGCATACTACTAGATTAGCAACAAGGTGTCATTATTTTACGTTTGAAATGGCTAGATTTAACCCTAAGTTTTATGCTAAGTATTTCCTTTCTTGCACTTCATACTTGTGGAACTCTCTTCCAGCTTCTTGTTTCTCAGTCAACTTTGATCTTGAAAATTTTTAATGCAATGTCAATCATTATCTTCCACCTCCTCAATTCCTGTTTTTTTATTGTTTTTGCTCTTTCATAATGCTTTCTTTTTCTTGTATTCTCTCACACTCAGTAACCCCTTTTTGCATCTTAGTGGCTATATTGTCTTGCTTGCTATGAAAGGATTAAATGAATAAGAGGATTAGGATTAGAAATTTTCAGCAGTCCTTCATACTTCCCACATACATACATACACACATGTATGTATGTGTATTATATATATATATATATATATATATATATATATATATATATATATATATATATATATAAGCCATTTATTTAATTTTTCTTAACTGCAGTACCTTGTCAGTCATCTTTTAATAAAACCCGTATAAAAGAGGGATTGCTTCCCAAATACACAATTTTTGTACTTCTATAAATATGTATTTTGAGCATTTTTTTTCTTTCCACTATCAATAACGGCAAACAACCAATTAAGGAAAAAAATTGTTTTTTGTTTTTTATATCTTCCTTAGGGAGAGAATTTTGTCAATCTTATCGATATTGGAATTATTGTTTGGTTTGGCTGAATGACAAATATGTTCACTGTCTCCAAAATAACAATATAAAATATGAAAAAACAAATTATAATAAAAAACCATAGAAAAAATAAAGAATAAGTGTAGAAAAAAAAAAGAAATTGCACGTATATGTAATCATTGAGACCTATCGACCACTCCTTTTGCTTATAGGTTTCAATATCTATTTGTGACTCATTGTACTGTCTTTGGTAATTTATCTCCTTATATATATATATATATATATATATATATATATATATATATATATATATAATTGTCATTATTACTGTTTTTAACCCAATTTCATTATTGCTATTTTTTATCCCAATGCTTTGGATCAATAGACTGACCACCAGAATAAATGGGTAAGATTGGAAATCAAGATGCAACTTCTACTGAGACTAGAATGTCCATTCCATATGCCAGGATGCCATCTTTTTATCCACATCACCTTAACCACTTTGGTCACAAAACCATCAGTGGTATTGAAAGATGAGCAGCATCATTTAGAGAAAGGTGACAGTAACCAAAGTCAGGAATTCCAAGGAATGATGTGACAAAAAGCAAAAGATAAATTGGGATGAAATAAACGATTCCAAATTTCCTGAATGCCACCAGACATGACTAACACTATATGAAGGTTTGATGAATCCATTTAATGTTTCTGTGATGAGTTTTCCATTTTGCAATGATTAAAACAAAGTTGCATAAATGTTAATATGTAATTAAATATTTCCTATGGAATGTATCTCTTTATTTCAGGCTTACGCCCATATCACATTGAAACACTGGTTCTTGTTCACTCACTAAAGTTAAGCAACATTGAGCTTGGTCAGTACTTAGATGGGTGACCACTTCAGAATACCAAGTGATGTAAGCTTGAATATACAGGTGGCGTAACTATGGGTTAAATGGTAGAACTTGTATCTGAACAAACATTATTATCTCCTGAATATTGTTAATACACTATTCACTGGAAAAAGTAATTAAGCATACAACCCAAAAATATGTTTTGACTTTAAATAACCTACAAAAGGTTGATAAACCATAAAAAACAAATTAATCAATCTTTATTTCATCAAACTTCAGATATTGTGAAAATGATATGGATAATTTTTCTGATGAAATAGTCATCATTAGATTGAAAATAATACAAGTGTCCAGACACTTGTATATTTTTATTTATTAACCCAAAACCTACGAAACCAAAATGGACAAAGAAATGAGAGGTAAAATCTACAATACGGACAACATGCAGAAGACAAGAATAATCAAACCCTTGAATTAGAAAAGCATTTAACACAGTAGAAAAGGCACATTGTACACAAGCAGAATTACCAAATGCCAATTATAATCAAAATGTATTTTGATCTCCTTTTTGAAGATGTCTAAAATCTTGGCAGTAATTGTCAAAAGAGGAAGAGTGTGCCACTCATTCACCATCCACTGGGAAAAAAGAATATTTTTGTATGTTCCTATGATAGGGACAGCAATTAAATTTGTAATGGGTGTCCTCAGGTGGATTTATACTGGATTTTAATAAAATATTTCTTGAAATCAATGTTATCAGTTGAATTTACTCTACTGAACATTTGTATTAAATCAAGTCTGACATTTAGTTTCAAGTGATAAAAGGCCAAAACTTTTAAACAAGATGTAAGACATATTTTTAATTTCAAGTCATTTTACTAAAGTGTTTTTGTACTTTTTTAGCTGTTGTATATTATGCTTTTAATATTTTCTATGGAAAAAAGTTCTATTCAAATACTGTTTTTTTTTGTTTTTTTTTTTTTTTCCTTAAATCTCTAAGTAGGTAGAAACAAACCATTTACAACAGTGTGTAAGTTTCTTTTGGGAATATATTGTAAATAGACAGGTAGAATTGTAAGGATTTTATTTCAGTGCAGTTTATCAAATATTTAAATATTATAATCTCATCAAACAAGTGACAAACGTTTTTATATGTGAATGTTGAAATGTCTCATTGTATGAAAATTATTTACTATTTGGTGACAAATTTAAGTTTGAATGAAATTAATGTTAGTAATTGTTTTACATTTTCCAAATGAGTTAATGTAATTATTTTTGGCTGATGATGGTTAATTATCAGAATGTTTGTTATCAAAAGAAAATAATCTAATGTGGTAATAAATATATTGCAAACACTGAAAATCGAAAATAAGTTTGTATCATTATCATATCAAATCTCAATAATATGAATGAAATATGAAATAAATAAATGCAAGTGTTAAAATCTCCAGACATTAATTAATCAGAATTTGATTAATAATCATGAAATGATGGTTGGTTTTATTTTTTTTTGATGATTTTGTTCCATCATTCTTAACATTCAAAACATTGGTTCTTTTATGTGCAGTGTTCCATCAGGATGTGGTCGAGCATAGCACTCCACAATTTCCTATTTTTTGTAGCTCCAGGTAATCTTTGTATTTTTAATATAATCTCCCCATGCCCTGTTCTACCATTAGCTTGTTAGGTAGGTTGATCATGGCTCTCCACAATTTCTTTTCCTTTGTAGCTTATAGCAGTGTTTGTCTTATTATCCTTCCCACTCTCTGTTCTGCCCTCCATTTGCACAAGTTTTGTTATAGAAGTTACAACTCTTATCTACAATATGTCTTGTGAGTGTCAAATTCTCCAAACCCTCTTTTCTTATTGTGTGTCCTAGAAGTTTCAACTGTCTCTTTCTAATACTAAATACAAGTGTCTTTTTCATTCCAATTTTCCTTAACACCTTTTCGTTGCTTGCATGTTCTGTCCATGGTATTCTTAGCATCCTTCTGTAAAACCAGCATCTTTGTTGTTTAAAGTCTCATTTTCACCTGTAAGGAAATTGTCCAGCATTCATCGCCATATAGAGAATTAGATATTACATGGCACTTCAGCGCTCTTTTCTTTGTTTCTAACAAAATTTTCATATTTCTTCATACCTTGCCTAACTTCTAGAAAGCATCTTGTTGGTTACATTTTTAATAAGTGAATAAGGCAACTTAAAGACATAAAGAAATATAAAGGTTGCAATCTTTGCTATGAACAAAGAATATGAAAAATAAACAGTTTTAAAATTAAAAATTGAATTGATCTGTTATTGTTCTCTACAAATTTTATTGTTTAAAGATTAGTATGTCAAAAATAAAATAGATTCAAAAAGTTAGTTTGTATGAAGAAATAGTTGATCACCTGTTATTGAATGTTGGGAATTGTGAATCTTTTCTCTACTGAATAATTGTCTGTTGTTGTCTCTGTTGAACAGACAAATTTGCATCAGTTTGTGTCATGTATTATAAGGTTGAAATGGATCCAACAAATGGTTAGGAAATAAGTGTGAGCAAAAGTTTGCAGCATTTTTTAGAAACTTGAGACTGAAAACAATGTTGCCAATTTGTTGGAGACACTTAATATTCCCACATTTCTGTCATCCAAATGAAGTGTCCATGATTCTGGATTCTGTCAAAATAGCAAAACTGATTTTCCTTTGTTTCTGTCATAAATATAAACAAAAATGATTCTATATGCCAACATAACACGTTTTTGTTTACTCATTATTGTGTATCAAAAGTATTTTCCTTTTTTTTTTTTTAAGAGGCATTTACTCTAAAGATTATTTCATGTATATATTCCCGCTATTTTATTATTATTATTTCCTTTGATTTCTGTTGTATACACATTTCCTTCCGGATCCCAACCAGAGACCTAAGGTCAGAAATGGCTTCATGACATTTTCCACTAAGCATTTAAAAAAAAAAAAAAAAAAAAAAATCCTAAGATCACACACATTTTACATAGATAAAGCTCTTTGTAATGTGTGAGTTGTACTTGTGAGTACAAATTTTTGTACTTTAAGGCTTAGGCTATCAGGAATCTCTTCAGTGAGTCTATCCAACCCTTTTCCAATCTGAGGGCTCCAACTACAACTGGAATTATTGATATCCTTATTTTTGAGATTTCCACTTCAAGATCCTTGTATTTTGATAGTTTTTTTTAAGATCTTCAAAGATACATTACAAACAGCAAGGACTGCCATGTTAATAAGAAGGCACATTCTGTTTGTTCTCTGATCACAATGTCTGGGTGATTAGTTTTGATTGTTTTGTCTTTTAGTATTGTAAAGTCTTATGAAGTTGTCACAGATCCTATGTAACTGGATCCTGGTGGTGTTCATATCAGTTTTTTGCAGTTTCTTTTCCATAAAAGCTGCAGATATTGGCCCACTCTATCATGCCAAGTTTTATATTCATTGGGTGCCAATACCATGCAATCTGATACCAGATGGTCAATTGTTTCTTGATATTTATCACAGAATCTGCATTTCAGGTCAACACAATTTTTCAGTATGTGTACTTTAGTAATTTCTAGTTAGCAAGCATTGGTCCTGTGCAGCCATCATCATCATCCTTATTATTACATATTAGGGTGTATAAAACATACTTTTATATTTTACAGGCCTTTACTTCAAAACATTTTCATTTATAAATTGGAAAATTATTTATAATTCCACGGTATCAACATCATTTTTATTTATTATTATTATTATTATTATATTAAGGTGTATCAAAGGTATTTTCTCTAAAGCTTAATTCATGTGTATACATACATACATGCATAAAACCCTTGTGCAAATTAATTGAAACAACCACTTTAATTTCTTTTCTTTCACCATACAGTCAGTTTTAGACCCCCTGGAGTGACAGTGTGTAATCGATTTCTATTTTTTCCTCAGATTAGGTCAATTACAGTGGTGTGCAGTAATATGAATCTATTTTGAGGGTGTATGATGAAATTTGTTTGACCTTGAAAAATATTTCATCATCCGTGATTGTATTAGATTTTCATCACACCCAGACACTATTATCTTGACTGTCAATTAGTTGTCCTACAGCCATTGTCTGCAATGGACATTACTCCAAGGAAGCGTACAAAAATTGTAACACTGCACGAACATACTGGCAAGCCTTACCAGTGAGCAAATCAAAGTACGATAGATTAGCCTGGAAACTCTCCTGATTTAAATCCAATCAAGAATCTGTGGTCAATCTGCAAGGAACGACTTTGTGGAATGGACATACAAAGTACTAACATGTGCACTGGAGAATGTTTCATTGGAAAAATATGAAAAAGTAAATAATAATGGAATTATTCGTTTTGTTTTAATTAATTTGCACAAGGTTTTACATACATATATATAATCTCAGTAATTATCTTTGATAGAAATTCTTATTATAAAGAAATGGAATTATTTGTCTTTGAAATTTCTGCAGAGAAAAATTAATTCTGAAATTTTCAGTGTTGAATACACTTTAACTTTAAGTTGAAGCAATCCTGTGTCATGTTACCATAGCAATGGAATAACTTGAATTAATGTGGGGACATTAGGTTACCTACTGGGAATAGGTGTCACTGGGTTAAGACATTGTTAGATGACATTAAAGACAAAATAATCACCAAGTCTTTAAAGATGTCTGAAACCAGAAATACTTTCAAGAGGTCTGGAACAAAAATTACATTAGCTGGTGCTCAAGATGGAATCTTCTGTAAATTTTCAGCAAAAAGACAATAGTCACAAATTTTCAGAAATCATCTTTTTATTTTCCTAATTTATTTTCTTTTGTGTGAATATATATATATATATATATATATATATATATATATATATAGGGTGTAATAACAAAATTGTCCAAATTGTGCCACAGCAAAATTTGTCCAAGTTTATTACTTAAACATTATTTTAGTAATAAAATGTCAGATTAGTAAATGCATTGATATATATATATATATATATATATATATATATATATATATATATATATATATATATATATATATATATATTGTTTATTTTTATATCTATACTGTAACT